AACCAGCTTTTAAGATCTACTCACCTGCATGTTCACTACTGATGTACATCTTAGGTACGGTCTGAGTAAGGTGATTTTGAGCATAATTCCCAATGAACTCCTCCAAATCACTAATAGTGAGGAAAGTGCGTTCCATCTTTTCTTGATTTACATCATTTTCAGAAGACCCCATCACTTCTTTTAGGATGGTGTCAACAAGTTTCTTGTTTGAAAACTGAGAAGGCGAAAAAAGTCTCAATAAGGTATCAGTAGTTGGTTTAGACATAACCTTAAGTAGCCTAACTATTAAAGGAATTGATAAATTCTGGGCTACACAGTCTGTGGAAAAGCTTTCTTTAACCAAGGCACCAGCAATAAACTTAAGAGGAGTTTTAATTTACTGACGTCTTCTATTTATACGTTATTGCCATGGTTTCTGAGCAAAGTATAACCAACATAATGAATTGACGTGAATGAAAGCGATCCTCGCAGTAATGTGCACTACTTAGGCAGTAGTGAAAATAAGGCCTGAAAACAATTCAGGCCTGTACGGGATTTGAACCCATGACCTCTGCGAAACCAGTGCAGCGCTCTACCAACTGAGCTAACAAGCCAACTGGGAGCTGGTCATGAATCATTTCATTCACGTCTTTATCCGCAGTTCAAATATATGACTTTCATATATTCTTAACCATAATGCATTGAGAATGGAATAACTGATTACAAAATTATAAATAGCAAATACGAATAACACAGGAAATATTGACAACATAAGGAAAAACGTACTCGCCACTGCACCAATTTTCTACTCGAGCTCAATCCTCTTATTTGCTTGAGAGTCGAACTTGTATCGATAGCTGCGCCGACTAGGGCTAAGAGTGGGATTGGTTTCTACACTTTCTAAAGGGTGAAATTAAAGTAACAACAACAATAGGCACTAAAAATGTTACAAGAAAACAAATACACGTACTTCGCTTGATGGTGTTATCTTAATGGTGGGAAAATTCGGTTTCCTCGCCCAGCACTGTTTCACTTTGATTCTGCCCAAGTACGACGAGTCTGTTGTATTTGTCAATATAATAGAAATCTGTTTGCGAGGGTTTTTATTTTCCCTGCATCTCCACATTCTAACACAGTCTTCTTTCCAAAAAGGCAACTGACTGAAACAGGAAGTCAACTGCTCACACCAAGAGCGACAACAGGTTTTGTCAATGGATGTAGGTGTTTTATTGCCACATTTCATCCTATGCCATTGCTGAGGCATTTTTCTAACATACTGCTGACAGACTGAACGGTTCAGCTCTGAGGGTCCGAGTGTATCATTAGGGCGGGAGCAATGCCCATCTGCGTTAGATACGAAAACATTAAATGGAGACATTTTTAAATGTCAATGCTGTTCCTCGTTCGTTCACATACTTTTTATATTTTTGTTAAATTAGTATTTTTCCGTAAGTAAATTTACTTGATTGAACTTTCTTTTCACTTGATTTTTTTTCCTTTTACTACTCGAATTCCACCCCAGCTAGAGATAACTAGGGTTTTCAGAACCCTCAGCTTTTTCTGAATTTTCTCTGAATTGTTTAAGATGGGCCCCGCTTTGAGTTTGATGCCACTTTTTAAAGTTTATAGGCCGAAACCTCCCTTTGTTTACTTGTCCCCCCTATTTTGTAGGAATAATTACCAGCAATGACAAATCAGTGATCTTTTGGACTAGGTCGCATTTTATGATTTATCTGGCAAGATATAATATAGTGTATAACCTCTGACGACAGAGGATAATAAGTTGAACAATGTTGAACCTTAATGATAATTTTCTAATTTTCTTTTTTTTTTTTTTTTAAGCAAAACAATACATACCTCGTGCTGAAGTTGGCACAGTCATAGCACCTGAAATAAAGACAAAACCAAAAGAAATGATTGAGGGGTGGAGACGGGAGGGGGTCAGGGGAATCAATAGAAAAACAAGTACTTAGATAGTAAGATACCTGAAGGAGACGTAAGACTACCTAGTCAACCATATAGGGGCAACTGCTGATAAAATCGTTCGCATTTCACTCAACGCCTTGCAAGTGTCGTGCTTTACCAGTCGTAGAGGGAGGATTTGTAGAGGGAGGAGCGTTACGCACCTTAAAAACAAATCTGACACCCTTCACTTGTGGTGGAAACGTACAGAGTTTCAAAATATGCTTAAAGAAGGGAATGGAAGATATTTGACGCCAATGTGGAGAAAATGACACCTTATTAAAAACCAACGCACTTAATCACATTGGAAAGGAAAGTCATTAAAACATATCCTGGTCAGAGCTACCCTGAGGGCAGAAGTTTAAAATCGCTTGCGAATGGCAGTAGTAATACTTTTTTGACTCGTCATTTGCTTCTTGTGTCCCGCACCTCGCGCGGAGTTTGTCGACGCTTTGATGCAATAAAATCTCTACAAATTGGCTCTTAGTTGAACCTTTTAGCCAAGACTTCCCGCCATTCCACAGGTAGAAGGTGGCCTTTGAAGTAAAATCCATTTCGTTCTCTCCGTGGCTTTAAGCCTTTCAAGTGAAGGAACGCGAGAAGCCATCGACGGTTCCAGATACAAGAAGTTTCCTCGAGGAAATTGCGAGAAACTAAAATATGTGTCTAGAATAAACAACTCATAATTTCAGAAGACTGCCACAACCATCTAAGACCTTAATATATCTAAATCGCTCTGATGCGGTTGGATGATAGACCACAATGAAAATTTCACGAGTTTAGATAGCATAGAAAATAGCGGAATAAGCGCGCAATGTTTGTGGTCGAAGGATCCTTTAAAACGAACATGAAGTGAGAGATTAACTAGTCAAAGGAATTGTGCCGAGTTTGAATCCTCATGTCAAAATAAAAAAAAATTGGAAATGTTTAAATTTTTTAATTATTATTATTATTATTATTTATTTTTTGTATATTAAACAAAGCATCTATAGCAAGGGACACAAGGTGGAATTTTCAGAGATTGCCTCTAACTAGATAACTAAAAGAAAATGTAACAGTATCGTAAGCTTTACCCAGTGAAGCATGAGACCCTGAAGAGGCCTTGATAACTTATAGGGCCCTGTGATGCCTATTTTTCCGTCAGAATTCAGTGTTCCTGTTATGTAAACTATACCGGGACATCGGTAAAGTTTTTCTTGAGAGTCGAATTGCCCAGAAAAAAAAAAAAAAAAAAAAACCTAGCACAATTCTCGTAACTTATTACTATAATGACTCATATATTTGAAACATTTCAGATCGATTTCTGTTTTCTGGTCTAATTATTGCTTGAAAGGCTTCCGTCGTAAGAGAGCGCTTAAATCAATAGAACGGTCTAGAAAGTACATCTGCTTAAATAGAGAAAGCCGTTCCATTGTCACCTCGCTCTAACGAACGACTACGTTTACTACAAGAAAGGAAATGAATATAAGACGGTCGTGCTCAATGTCCGCGTGGAAAATAAAAATAGGTCAGAGAAAATCAAAAACGTTTGGGCAAGAATTTTAGGAAAGGGGGTATCTCTTGTGTTCCGGTTTCGCCACCTAAATTACATCGTGTTTGTCTTTCGATTTAGCTATAGCTATGATATGACAAAGGGAACAATCTGGAGAAATTAAAAAAAAAAGCTCTCGGCTTTCAAAATTGTTTTCATCTCCTCCTTTTTCTTTTTTCGTACCAGACTTCACGTCGATCAATTGCATCAAAAAATTTGGGAAACATATTGTGATGGTATCAGGAGGAAAACATAACAGGAAGCTAGTTAAACTGCTTGACTACAGCGAATTGGTTTCATATAAGTACTTACCAAAAATGATTAAGATTCCATGCAAAAGCATTTCGTCGAAAGGTTTCGTCCAGAAGAGGGGGTTCTTCTTTAACATTCAAGGATCCAAATTATCGATGAGAATATTGAGAGCGGCGAATTTGCCTCGCGAAGAGCACTTATTCAGACTGCTTCACTTAGGGCCCTACACAGCGATGTTAAAATGATTTGGTGAAAATCTCACTTAGTGCAGAGTGAGACTATAAACGATTTGAGTGCGAACCCTTTCCCCTCATGGCCTAAAAGGAATTAGCTTTTCAGCTCGTAGATTCATAATAACATCTCTACTGTCACATTGTCATAATTACAGACAAAAACAGGTGGATGATTATGATTATGGATAGACTAATATCGCCCCGTACACTAATAATGAAATAGTTATAAAAAGATATGGTTTTCCATAATATGACATTTAATTTAGATTCAGTGTTATTTTCAGTTTTCTCATGCAAATCAAACTGGAATTTGTTCTTGTGACTATCGGGTATCCGGCTATTAATCAAACAGAATACAATACAGACGCGGTGAAGAAAAGATACCTAATATTCTAATTCTACCATTCTGTGTTTTGTTTTCAGTTGAAAGCTGACAGGGTCTTTATGTCAATGACCTGAGGCAGTATGATTGAAATGGTAATTAAAATGCCAAATGCTTGTCACGCAAACACATAATGTTTTTTTGGAAGATTAATTTACTTGCCGTTATCAGCTTATGTTCAGCGGAAGCAAAATGTGTAGTACAGTAGATAATTGGTATTGCTTTATCAGTCTCTCGAGTGGAAAAGTATTGGGTTCTTTGAATGTCTTTCGTCCAAATTTCTTTCGTTTTTGTTTTATTAAAAGGTGATAACAAGAGACAGACAGTCCAAAATGCACGAAAAAAAAAAAAAAAAAAAAGAAGGAAACAAAATTGGTTGGAGCTAAACTGCTTTAGGCAGCCAGGCTACGCCAAGTCCTTAGATGGCCCAGGCATGCGTAAGCCACGGGAAGTCTTAACACTCTGTCCTTTATCCTATCCCTGTAGTGCTTTGCAGAGCGAAGGCAGTACAGTAACCCCTAAGGCGATGTTAAGAGACTATATCGACCAAATTACAAAGCCTCAACTTTGCTTGGTTTTTTAAGGGGGGATGCCAAAAGTGTTTTTTTTTCTTTTTTCTTTTTACACAGACCTACGCTGTAAAGAGACATGCTAAGATTAATATGGTCTCAATCTCCACGGAGAGCTTTAATTACAAGCTTTAAATGTTGGCCGTTTCCATCTTTTTAAAAGCAGATGCAAATGTCATACCATGGATTCATCAATTAAATTAACTTTCTAAGAACATGAAATGCTTTACGTTTGGTAATCATGAGTTAGCAGAAATTAATTCAAAATGCATATGCATCTACAAATAGCAGATCAAAACCTCAACGTTCAATAGTTTCTTGTATAGAAACCGGGCTCTGGTCTCAAATCACAGACAATGCACTAACAAACCAACTTAAGGTTTAGTATTAGCAGCTGAAAAAACTTGAAACAAATTAGGACTCTCGTCACTAGAGAGAGCGACTTATTTACTTCCCTGACTATCGTTTTGTTTTGTTTTGGTTTTTTTTTTTTTTTTTTCGTGGCCTTTATGTCAGAGTTCTATTCTGATATTATATTGAATAATTAGCTGACGGATTCCTTACTTACAATATCTTGCTTGTATATACCGCACTACGAAGTTATAGTTGTTATGTACAATGTAACATATCGGCAACTACATAGAGGTTTTGTTCGAGACTCTTTTAGTTTTTTCGCCGTCACTCAGTGGGTGAACCTTTATTTTTCTCGGCGCAGCAATGGCTGTGGAATCCTCATTTACTTCTGAGGGCATTACGGATGTTCGTTTAGTGCTAGTTCCAACATCCATTGCTGGAAAGATGGCCTGAATCCTTCTTCTCAAACGAGCTCTTACCTGTAAATTGCAAGTTAAATTAGCCACATTTTCGCATTCAAGGAGTTTGTAAGTCGTACTCTTTTTTCCTCGACTTTGTGATGTACAGGCTTTCAACAACAGCCAATTCTCACAAGTCACAACTAAATTAGACGTCATTCAGCTACCTGGAGTTAATCTGCACAGGTATCGACATAAAATGTAAAAAATGTCGTATAATTTCTTTTTATTTTCTCTCTCTAGGAAATATAATCAACATTAAATTTATATTCTGACTCTTGATCTGGAATCCATGTCCTTTCTTCTTTCTTCCCCCACCCTCATCCTCAGCCACGAAAATTTGTTTAACAGCGGAGCTCCTGCGCACTTGTGGAGCTCCATACCCTAGAGAACATGTGAGTACAATGATAATTTTGGTCCTATAGTTCTTCCGTTTGTCCTGTTGCTTTTGCTTTCCAGTTAGTCTGTTTCTATGCACGAGCCCTTTGAACTAGGGCTTAATTTCTTTGAAATGACATTTAAATTAAATAGAACTTCCTAGTCTCCACTGTAATTTCAAAAACCGATGTAAGACCGGACCTTGTGATGCAATTTTAAGCGATAAATCACTGACCTCGCTGTTCCTCACGCAGTGAAGAAGAAAGATCACGAAACCCTGTTGAATTAATGGGATGTGAGAAGTTTTTTTTTTTAAATCATGACGATGATGATTTGATTATGATTTTCACGAGATTTACACAGTTTTTAAACCACTGAGTTGGCAGAGTAATGAGTTCAACATAACACCATCCCAAGGTTCCCGGGACTGTGCATCTGACAGAATATAACGTCTTTTGATCTCCACAGACATTTATCTACATCTCACCTGTGAAGAGTTGAGGATCGTGAAGATGTAGGCGAAAGCTTTGTGTAAGGGTGCCAATAACCCAAATAACCACGAGATTCCCAGCAGAGGAATCATAACTATGCATGCCTTCACACCAAGTCTGGATAAAACAAAACAAATAAAAACAACAACAATAACAAAAAAAGAGCAAAATAAGGGACTTTTGATGATGTGATTGTTGATGAAAAAGCTCTATTAGGTAGAAATTCTATCAAGATGGTTTCTCATTGTTCCTTTTTGGACTTCGGACTCTTCCTCGGTAGATTTTTGAAAAGGTTGGATTCCAGATTGTTGTTTTCTAGAGAAGGAGCTGATTCCAAGACCCAACATTCCGGAAGCCGGATTTCCTTCTATGGAGAAGACCATACCTTATTTGTTCGCTACGTTTGTCCTTCTCTTGTTGCATAGTCACCATCTCCTTGATAACCCGCCCGAGGATCAGAATGTTAAACTTAAAGAAGAAAATAGACCCATGTGAACCCCATGAAAGTTTTTCTTAGTTTCGATAATGATAATCCTGGTTATTTTCACTTACAAATTCAATCAGCACGACAAATACTATAAATATCCAGATCAGACCATTGGCAGAAGACATCCAGCAGCTTTAATGAAAACACAAAACAAAACAAAAACAGGTTAAGCTATAAATAGATGATGTGATTGTAAATGATTACTTGAAATACCAATATGGACTTTCCACACATTGAATGCCTTTTCTACAGAATATAGACTGATGGAATCCATAATTACAGCCTAAACAATCCGATTCAAAACCGATCTTAAGGCTCAGAACTTTTGTCTTCCATCTTAGAACACAATAACAATAAGCCGGTACATAAAAAAAAAAACGAAAAAGGATCATTTTTTTAATTATACGTGTATTTTGTTCAGCTGTAACAAGTTCGTTGTTCGTTTTCTAAAATACTTGTGTTACATCAGTTCCTGGAAACTTGAGTGTGATGACATTAGATCAGTACAATGAAACTCTCCTAACTATTTATTAGCCAAAAAACTTTCGATCCCATCTTTTCCAGCTGCAATACTCAGTGATATGGCAACGATGAGCGCGGGAAGGCCTACAGAATTGAAACAAAAATCAGATTTGAAACTTATTCTCACCTGTCAAGGGCATAATTTACCTTTCCACATTAGATATTTACCTTTTGAACCCCCTAGTCAGAGCTATATAGGAATGTACTGCGCAATATAAGTGATAGAGTATGTTCCTGGCCGCGTATTCTTGAATTCGAAGGAACTGTTTCTAAAATTAGTTGGACTTCTGGGACATAGGTTACTAGATCAACATAAAAGGATGGTAATAAAAGTGTTTAAATATTTTAATAGCCATAGAGTACCTTACCCCATGAAATTCCATGGCACATTCTTAACTTGTTGCCAACGTTGTAGACCTTTACAATAAACAGGTAGAGGTAGATTCCCTCGACCAGCATCCAGCAGAAGGCGGCCATCAAAAAGTACTGCATAAGGGCCGCCACTGTAACGCAACCTCCCTGGAGAAAATAGAAAACGAAAACGGATTTTTGCAATCTGCCTGAATGATATATACAATGACATATGATTGATTTGCTTCGTAAATATTAATAATGCTGTCGTCCTGACTCTTTTTGGAAACTGACCAATCGAAAAGAAAGATTTAGAGGAAGCACAGCTCATAATAAACCCCGTTTTTAACTGAAATACAAGAAAACTAATTTTCGACAAAAAAACGGAAATATTTAAAACTGCCCAGTTTTGGACTGTAAACACTTCAATTTCCACGGAATTCTTGCCTTGTTCCCAGTCGCTCCAATCCCGGCAAGAAACATGATTTGTCCTGCTCCAAGAGAAGCGACGAGACTCACTCGAATCTGGGATAAAGGTCGTCTCATGTCTCTGGCACGCAAAGAAAAACGAGAAAAAAAATAGACCAGAGAAGAAAAGAAAAAAAACATTAAAAAGAAATAAAAGAGACATTCGTTATTTACGATGTAGGTGATTGTTTTTTCCCTTTATTTTATAAATATAACTCTTTCTTTCTTTTTAAGAAGTTAGGGCTAGGATATTGTTAGTGATACGGGTTCCCCCCCCCCCCCCCCTTTTTTTTTTTTCGTATCATTATTTTTTTTTTCGAGGAATACAGTAGATGGCTCCAGGTCTTCTCGTCATCATGGAACTCAAAGAAATGAGGAAACAAGGAGCAAAGTACGGTTAGTACGGTCTGAGTATCACTCGTGTCTGTCCTTTGACAGAACCCAGCATACTTGGAAACATTTTTGCGATCAATTGTCCACTTTTTTGACTAACACACATTTCTAATTTCTAACTACTTAACTCACGTGAGAGTAACATAGCTGATTATCGTCAATGAGATCCCAATTACAGAGAGGGTCAGCCCGACGTATGTGAGAATTTCCAAGTTCTTTTCATCATTCTTTATGGGTGAAAATATAAATGAAAACAATACTTTAAAAGACTTACAAATCTTAATACATCGACTTAACCAAGTTTTATTCTACCTTAAGAACTAAAATGTTAAATCAATAGGTATTTGTTTGAATGTACCAGCAAATACTATCGTACAGGGGAGTTGCAGGCGTTGTGGTGACACTTACCGCTGATATATCGGCAGTCTCTGTTCCAGAAGATGTGTCCAGAAGAACAGCAAAATGAGTCAAATGATTGCAGGTGCACTCTGTTTGGTATGCATCAGTAGATTTGACATAGCACCCTTCTCCTGACCAGCCAATGGAACTGAAACGTAAGATAGATAATTTATCGATCAAGTGAGATTTTAGTGCACAAGTCATGCGAACGGAACCCCATATCTTTTAATGAATGTAACTTATCAAAGTGTGAAAATCCGGTTGTTAGACGATGATTCCTGTGAGAACTTGCATGTATTCACTAGTTCTCAAAACTTTGCTCTTCACGCATGGAGAGCTTTACGTGAAAAAAATTTGAACAAAGGGCAACACAATTTAGCTAACTGGATAATTTTCGCGACTTGACTTAATTTAGATATAAGTGTCCGCATCAACCTGAGACGACGCCGGTAAGCATGAATCATACATTATTCCCACTTAATTAGCCCAACGCTAGCCTCATGATAAGAGTTGAATAGAAAAAAAAGAAAAAAAAGAAAAAAAAGAAAAAAAAGAGGGACATTCGAATAATATTTACCTATCATCCAACATGTTCCAGAACATACACTTTTTCTTGTTATTTGAATTCTAAAATAATGAAACAATAATAAATTAAACAATGAAACACAATTTGCACCATAAATCGAAATCTAGCGAAATTAGAATTCATAAACAATACATCCATACTGAAAAAAGGCGAATTTCATTTCAGACAGCTAATAGAGTCACTTAATCTCAACCAGAAATGACAAGGTATAACAAAATCGGCAGGAAAGAACAGCGTAAGTCTCGCTACCTTAATGTTTTTGAACTTCAAAGTTATATTTTCCTGAAGTTTCTTGGGTGGAGGAGTTATTGTGGCAGCCATAATAATGGAGGTGACTTCCCTATTTCAGAGCGATGAAAGTAAGAATCACTAAACTTCAAATGCACCGTTTCAAGTATACAGAAGAGAAATAGATATAAATTGTCTAACGTAAAAAACCCTTCAGTTTCTAGCGTGAAGGAAATTTATCAGTCGTTTATGCATACAAAGATGGAAAATAAACGTATAGTTATAATTGCCGGGTGACCTGGAATTGTTCAGAGTACTGTTCTCTGTCTGGTTAGTGATGAATAATTGATGGAGGTCTTTGTATATCATTCCAAGTACTACTGAACCTGAGAAAACGATAAAGATGAAACGATTTCGTGAATTTCGCTATATCGACTAACAAAATTAAAATGAAAACATAGCTAAATACATCAATAAGTAAATAATATTGGAACACGAAATATTTAAATAAACTTTTTTAACCATTGTCCAAGTTTCCCGATGGAATGCTCAGGAAATTTTCCCCGTTAGGTTCTTCCAGACGAAAGTGGTGGCTTTCATTTTGGTAGAAAGTTTTCCTGACCAGAACATCTAACGGAAAGGTGTAAAAATGATATCAATAATAACAATTAGTAATATCAACAATAAAAATGATCAGTTTGACTTGATAGGGGAAAAAGGTTACCTAAGCCTTTTAAGAGAAAACAAAATTATCAGGTTTTAATCGAAACAGATAGAACAGTAAGAACTAGTTTATTGCATGCTTAGTATAATTATGTTGTCCTTAAATGTTATTGCGAGGCTATTTCATGTAATGGACATCTCTTCATGGCCAGCCCTTGAATCGGAACGACAGTGACGTTCAACATACTTATTATATTAAGAAAATGCCTTACCTGCATAAATGCTGCTCATATTAAATTCGCTTGTTGTGTGATTGAATTTGAGTTGTGCAGTTTCCAGCAAGGATGTTTCCAACGTGGTCAATTCAAAAAACATTTCCTCTATCTTTTCCTTCTTATCTTCACTTTTGTTGCGTATCTCATCGGAATAATACTCAGTAACGGACTTCAAAGAGCTGAGCAAGTACTAAAAAAACAGTAAAATGGTTTAATTTTAAAAAGGGCAACGAACTTCAAAGAGCTGAGCAAATCCTCAAAAAAACGGTAAAATGGTTTAATTTTAAAAACGGAACGATAAACCTTATCACACTAAAGTTCGCATCTAGTTTAAGTTTCGTGTTGAAAAACAAAACAAAACAAAACGGAATTGTGAGAAATATAGCCAAACTGGCATAACTGTTAAAATTCATACAAATCAAGCCGGTGCCAGAGCGAAAGCGATCATGCTGAGGTCCATCGCGGCTAGATCGTCACGGCAGTCTCCGGTCATCGCAGTGAAGCAAGCATCAGAAATTACATCGGCCGCCTAAATTATTCCAGGTTGTGATCTATTGCAGAACTTTGATATTTTATGAATTTTGATGGTTTGACATTTATGACACCTTGTCCAACCAATCAGACTGTTTGAACCTTTCTGACAAGGATTCTGATTGGCTTATTGTAGCAAGTATATTGGAGGGAGGAGGGGGGGAGAGGGGGATAGGAGATCACTTCTCGTGCCTTACTGCTTCCTGCATGCGTTACAACAGAAAAGAGCAAACTCAAGGCTTCTCTATTTGTAAATAGATCCCATGATGTTTTTTATCATCCATCATATCTATTACGGTCTGCGTGTGCGTTAATATCAACATTCGCATTGCCTCCGTGTTATAAACACAGCAACGTCCTTTTCATGTCAATTGTGGGGATGCAGACAGTTTTGCGTAAAGGAGTTTCACGATGAAAAGTGACGTAATCTATGCAGGCATATCAAGAAGCGAGAACTAACTTCTTACCCAAAAAATTAAAAGCGATATACATGTTTTTTCAAAAACATAAATAGAGTACCTCTTTGCGTAAGTTTTCCCCTTCTTGCAGATCACCTATGTAGAAAGGACGTATAAGTAGCACTCATCATAATCCCGAAAAATGGTTTATTAATTTGAATAAACGAGGGGGCAATAAAAAAAATTATAATAATAAATAAATGAATAAGTAAACTGATGAGTAAGGAAAACACGAGATTGATAGATGACTGACTGAGATCGAAAGAGCGAAGGAGCGATCGAGAGATCGGACGGCCGGATGGATTTATGAATAAACAAATTAATGAAATTCTTAATGAGGAATGATCTCATGTTTAAAACAAAAGGAACCTTATACATACCATTTTCTTGCGATACGCTATCAAGTAACTTAATGGTGTAAACTTTGTAACGACTCTTCCATCCACAAAATTTGACGTCAATGTTATATGATGACTGGTTTCCTCTGGCATTCACCTTGATCTTTGTCCGGCGATGTCCCCTAAAGAGTTTTTTAAACTTCCGTGCGCATTTTTTCCGCCACTCAAAGGATTGCTGGAGACAATCACCGAAGGTTTCGCACCACTCAGCACAATTCCCTCTGCGGCATTTGATTTTTAACGGAGGCTCCTTAGTTATGTCATCAACCCGCGGACAGTTGTCTTTTATCCTCGAAAGTTTCATTTCTGGGTGTTTTCTGGAGCACTGGTTACTATGACCTGAAAAACAAACATGGATTAAATTTGAGAGAAAATACCTGACTGTACCTAACTCTCAATGACGACTTAAACATTTCTTTTTCAGCTTAAATTTCCTGTTAGATTATTACTAGGGAGCAGAACATTCGTTGGTGACTGTCACAATTTCCATTATTCATTTCAGTTACTTGCTCGATAAAGACGATGCGATAGTCACTAAAAAGAGCACAGAAATACATATCCATGCGATAGCCTGTTTCAAGTATCGTTGGGCATACCCTTTGGTATCCTTGGGTTCAGTGCGTAAATTTCAACGGAAATCATCACACAGCTGTACCTAAACACAAGAGGCCATCGTCCACGTCTATACGTATATTGCCAAAGCACAGAACAGGTAATCGGTACTTGACGGAAATAAGGTTTCTTTTTGTATTATACTTAAGAAGTGCAAAGGTGATATGAATTAGTAATTTAACTTAAAAAAAAAAGCAAAAAAAAAAAAAAATTGGACCCCCTGATATCCCCTCCCCGCAAAGAAAAAAAAAAGAACAAAGAAAAACCATGACTGAAAGGACGAATGAATGGACGGATAGATAGATACCATTTGTTTCCAACAAACAAAAAGACAGAATGTTTAATAAACTGATCGGTTGTGTTTTAGAGAAATAGCTTTCATCTTTATTCTTCTTCTTCTTCTTCTTCTTCTTCTTCTTCTTATTATTATTATTATTATTATTATTATTATTATCATTATTATCTTAAAGGGAAAGTACGTTCTGTAAAAAGTTTGCCTAAATCAAAAGTTCCTGACATGCTTTGTGTTTTTGTCGCCAGGAATCACGATTAAAAAAATTGAGATTTCAAAATTTAAATCCTCTATCTTTGTTATGACGTAGCGATGATCAAGCATTGTAACCTCGACTAAGAAGGATAAAAAACTAAGAAAACAGCGGCGAAGAGAGCGATAATGACTCAATTCTCGACATGGATCTTAATCAAGACGGTGTAATACGCCCATTCATGTTTGAGACGCAACATAGCTCGGCTTCAGGAGAAGAAGCAATCGCTGTTGACGAAGAAACTCAGGAAAAGATAAAAGGAGAAACATTTACGCGCTCACAACTTGGAAATTGCGAGTGGTGCTCTTTCGGCAACTGTCATGAGATGCCATCAGAAAACAAGAATTTATGCTGTCAAGAAATGAATTTACTTGGCGATTGACTCGATCTGGAATCGGAGGTAATTAATTCTTCTAAAATAAAATCTTTGTTTCTGGAGTGACAATTTTTTAGTTTTTACTAAAGAACAGCGCAGTGCCCGCGACGGATTTATTTCACATTGCTAATTGAGTGATGTGAATTGTTACTGAAATTGCAAGGACCAAGCTTCAGTGTATTACTTAGCACGGATCATTTGAACCTGTGTGTTTACCAGCCAATGTTTTCAGAATAGCCCTTGTTGGCAACCACCAAGTGAGAAGTGAGAGACTCGAAGATCATCTGTCAAATGAGTAGGCAACGACAGAATAAACATTTTTCGCAAACCTCATCCAAAAAAAAACGCTAAAGTTGTTTGCAAGCTAGTCTGATGCAAACCGGAGAAAAAACAAAAAAAACAAAAAACAAAAAAAAAAAAAAAAAAAAAAAAAAAAAACAGTGGCAGTTTATTGTCAGCCTTTATATTAAAAGTGGTGTTGTAATCTTTTGACCCAAGGGTGAACTTCACCGCAATATTTATAATGGTAATGATGAGTGGAGTCCAATTCGGTCTGTAATCATACAATTGATTAAGAAAATCGGACGACCACGAAGCGGGAGTCCGATTTGTTAATTACGAGTATGATTGCAGACAGAATTGGACGACACAAAGTCCTGTTACCAATTAATCAAAACTATAACAAAATTCGAGAAAGAAACTAGACATCGGATATACGTTTTTATATTAGAAAAAAAAACAACAAAAGAAAAAAAAAACATTAGTTAACTCGGGGAAATGCGAGACAATAGCGCGCGGATATGACGCGTTCTGTCCACTTACACAGGCATGACGCGTAAACCGTCCTATTACACTGTCCAATTACAAGCATGACGCGTACACTGTCCTATTAGTGCTCAAATCGGGCTCATGATAACCAATTACGTTCGAGAATTTTGTTATAGTTTTGATTAAATTGTAAATAGACCTTAATAGCTTGTATGCTTTGTTTACCTAATGGAGGTCACTAGACCAAGGAAATTCACTCTTTTGCTTTTGAAAATTATGACTAAATATGGAAGTGAACAAGATAAAATTGAAAGTAAGAGTACTTTAGAGAATTACCACATAACCTACCTTGGGAAAATTTAATATAGGAGGTCTCCTATTCCAAGTTTGTTTGATATATATATATAAACAGAGCCTCATGTTACATGGAGAGCGTCAGGAAGTCTCCCGTTGTCGAACATTGTTAGCTTAGGATATCAATTTTACCACAAATGACGTCTCAGTGCTTGGCGAATTGGAATTTGTTTGTTTCAACTGCATTTGTGTGGGTTCCGTTCCGAACTGGACAAAACGGGAATTATTTTCGGATTCCTAAGGAAGAGTTCTTTCACTAGAATTAAAATTTTCTATACCGTACTTTTCCTTTAAAGAGCGTCTAAGAGAGCTTTAAAGGGCTCCGTCGAAAAACAAGCGAAATTGAAAGTACAACATAGAACCAATAGCCTACTTAACATATCGACTTTTTTAAAAGTTTACATATATAAAGGTTACCATTTTACTTTTTCATACTCACCAACCATTAGTGCAAGAAAAACCGTTATCCGGAACATTTTGACTAGAGTTTCCTTTCGAACTTTCAGATATGAATTCGGCATTGTTGAGATCACCGTCTCTTGAAATAGTGATGAAGGTATTAATCTTTTTTTCAATGGCTTTGGGTAGACGTTAGACACAGAGATACGTTCGACCTTGAGCGAACAAGGAATAGAGCAGAGACCAAACTAGGTGTGAGTTTCTAACACATTATTCCTTAGGTTTGTTGGCACTAAATTGACTAGCTGGGTCTGTATTTACTTTATAAATTGAGACAATAGCAAGACATGACAAGAATAATTATTTCTCATACCCAAAAGTGTCATGGAAAATAGCAGGTGGATGTTTTTTTTTCATTGTGTTCGTTATAGAGGAAACGAAAATTTTCTCACCCTAGCTACTTTTTTCCAATAAAATTCCTCACCAACAAAATAGTTTTCAAACTTGCTATTTTCTTAATATGAAATAGCTAATGACAAGTCAATGAGTCGCACCACTGTTTTTTTCCGGTATTTTTTAAAATTCTAATTCACCCATAGTTTAGGCGCAGACTGGCGTATTTGTGTTAACAAAATCGCCAATGAGAGATGTGTAATGAATGAGGATTAAAACAAAACAAAGAGTGTTCAACTCAATAGGTGTCCTTATTGAAAACGGCTGAATTTCCTAGTTTGCATGACAAACTGTCATGAGGTTGAGCAAATTTTTGGATGAATATTTTATCATTTCTACCAGGGGAAATTCTCTTATCACAATATATTTCCCTTCTTTTTGTACCCCTAAATGAAAGACCAAAAAAATTATATTTTTCCTTTGACAATTTGAAACGTAAAAACCTTTTTTAAGATTTAACTCCTCAAACTATTTGATTGGCGTTATTACGAATATAGACATTTTTAAAGACAACAAATTAACTAAGTTGACAGCAGATAGCAATTGAAGGATATAAAATAAGGATTTTAAATCTTATTCTATTGGTATTAGAAGGAAATAAAATATTTCATTTTAATGTCGGCAAAACGAGAATTATTAGGTCAAGGATATAGAGGAAAAGGAGAAAACGAAAAATTAAGACGGACTCAAGGATGTGATAATCATTGCTATTTCTTTTCCTAACGTCATCAAACGTCTGCGAGGCCTTCAATTATAAACCTACTAATGAAAAATTCTCGCATATTTTAGCATTTAAATAAATTGTTATTTCTTCTTTCGCTCACAACTCTATTTTTAGCTTTAGTTTTCTCGAAATATTGCTTATTCAGACTGCTTCACCTAGGCCCTACACAGCGATGTAAAATGATTTGATGCAAGTCTCACTTAGTGCGGAGTGAGACTGTAAACGGTTTGAGTCCGAATCTTTTCCACTTATGGCCTAAAAGGAACTTAGCTTTTAAGCTCGTAGGTTCGTTATAACATCTCCAATGTCAAATTGTCATAATTACGTACATAAACAGGTGGATGACGGGTAGATCAATATCGCCTTAAACACTGGTGGCAAAGGCTTTATAAAAAGATGAGGTTTTCCATAATAGAGCATTCCATTTAGGTTCAATATTTTTTTCGGTTTTCGCATGCATATCAAATTAGAATTTGTGGTTATGACCAACGGATCTCCGACAATTAATCAAACAGAAAACAATACAGACACGGTACAGAAAACATACCTGATATTCTAATTCTACCATTCTTTTATTTTTAAACGCTCGTAACGCTAACACGTAGTGTCTCAAGGACGGTTGATTTTATCGCCGTTATCGGCTCACATTCAATGGAGGAAAATATGCAGCACGGTAAATAATCACAATTGCCCAATCACTATCTTGACTAGAAAAGCATTTGGTTCTTTGTGTGCTTTTTGTACAGATTTTTTTGTTTGTTTTTGTTTTGTTGAAAGGTGACAACAAGACAGACGGTCTATAACGTGCACATAAAAGAAGGGAGCAAAATTGGTTGGGGTTAAACTTCTTCATTCAGCCACGCCACGTCCAGTTCTTTGATGGCCCACGCATGCGTAAGCCACGATAAGTCATAACACTCCGTCATTTATCCTATCCTTGTAGTGTTTTGCAGAGCGAAGGCAGTACAGTAACCCCTAAAGTGGTGATAAGAGACTATATCGACCAAATTACAAAGCCTAAACTTTGCTTCGTTTTCCTTAAGGGGGGGGAAGGGGCGCCGAAGGTGTTTTTTTTTTTATAGAGGAGAACAGACCTACGCTGTAAAGAGACATGCTAAGATCAAAATGGTCTCAATCTCCACGGAGAGCTTTTATTACTAGCTTTATATGTTGGCCGTTTCCATCTTTTTGAAAGCAGATGCAAATGTCATACCATGGATTCATCAATTAAATAAACATTCTAAGAACACGAAATGCTCTACGTTTGGTAATTATCAGTTAGCAGAAGTAAATTCAAAATGCATATGCATCTACAAATAGCAGATCAAAATCTAAACGTACAATAGTTTCTTGTATAGAAACGAGGCTCTGGTCACCGACAATGCACTGACAAGCCAACTTAAGGTTCGGCATAAGCAGCTCAAAAAAACTTGAAACAAATTAGGACTTTCGTCACTAGAGATAACGACTTTCTTCCCCTATTATTTATTTATTTTTTTGTTTTGGTTTTTTTTTCGTGGCTTTTCTGTAAGAGTTCTATTCTGATATTGTATTAAATAATTAGCTGCCGGATTCCTAACTTACAATATTTTCCTTGTATATGCCGCACTACGAAGTTATAGTTGTTATGTACAATGTAACAAATTGACAACTACACAGAGGTTTTGCTCGGAACTTTTTTAGTTTTTTCGCCGTTACTCAGTGGCTGAACCTTTATTTTTCTGGGCGCAGCAATGGCTGTGGAATCCTCATTTACTTCCGAGGGCACAACGGATGTTCGTTTTGTACTAGTCCCATCATCCACAGCTGGGAAGATGGCCTGAATCCTTCTTTTCAAACGAGCCCTTACCTATAAAGTGCAAGTTAAATTAGCCACATTATTGCATTCAAGGAGTTTGTAAGTCGTACTCTTTTTTCTTTGACTATATGATGTATGGGCTTTCAACAACAGCCAGTTTTTACAAGTCACAACTAAATTTGACGTCATTCAGCTATCTGGAGTTAATCTAGACAGGTATCGATATAAAATGAAAAAAAAAATGGCGTATAATTCTTCCTTTTTTGCGCTTAGGAAATATTATCAACATTAACCTTATATTCTAACATTTTACGCCGTAAAAGAGACTGATCTGAAACCCATGTCTTTTCTCCATTCTTCCCACACCCCCATCCTCAGACACGGGAATTTGAGCGGAGCTCCTGTGCACGTGTGGAGCTCCAAACCCATCAGAACAAGTGAATATAATGATAATTTTGGTCCTACATTGCTTCCTTTTGTCATGTTGCTTTTGCTTGTCCAGGTAGTCCGGATCTAGGGACGAGCCCTTCGAACTAGGGCTTAATTTCTTTGATATGACATCGAAATTAAATAGAACTTCCTGGTTTCCACTGTAATTTAAAAAAATCGATATAATACCAGACATTGTGATGCAATTTTTAACGATAAATCACTGACCTCGCTGTTCCTCACGCAGTGAAGAAGAAAGATCAAGAAACCCTGTTGAATTAAATAGAAGTGAGAAGTTTTTTCATTATGACGATGATAAGTTGATTATGATTTCACCAGATTTAAACAATTTTTAAACCACTGAGCTGGCAGAGTAATGAATTCAACATAACACCATCCCAAGGTTCCCGGGATTGTGCATCTGACAGAATATAACATCTTTTGATCTCCACCGACCTTTATCTACATCTTACCTGTGTAGAGTTGAGGATCGTGAAGATGTAGGCGAAAGCTTTATGTAATGGTGCCAATAACCCAAATAACCACGAGATCCCCAGCAGAGGAATCATAACTATGCATGCCTTGACACCAAGTCTGGAAAAGAACAAAACAAAACAAAATAAAAAACAACAACAACAATAAAGCAAAAAAAAAAAACAAAACAAAGCAAAACATGGGGTTGTTGATGATGTGATTGTTGATGATAAAGCACTATTAGGTAGTAATTCTATCAAGATGGTTTCTCGTTGTTACTGTTCCGGATTTCGGACTCTTCCTCAGTAGATTTGTGAAAAGGTTAGATTCCAGATTGTCGTTTTAAGAGAAGGAGCTGATTCAAAGACCCAATATTCCTGAAACCGGATTTCCTTTTATGGAGGAGACCATACCTTATTTGCTCGCTATGTTTGTCCTTCTCTTGTTGCATAGTCACCATCTCCTTGATAACCCGCCCGAGGATCAGAATGTTGAACTTAAAGAAGGAAATAAACCTATATGAGCCCCATGAAAGATTTTTTTAGTTTCGATAATGATAATCTTGGTTATTTTCACTCACAAATTCAATCAGCACAATAAATACTATAAATATCCAGATCAGGCCATTGGCAGAAGACATCCAGCAGCTTTAATGAAAAAAAAATAAAAGATAATAGTAAATAAACAAAGTAAAACAAAAAACGAAAAGAAAACAAAACTATAAATAGATGCTTTGTTTGTCAATGACTACTTGACATACCAATATGGATTTTCCACACATTGAATGCGTTGATCGCGCCTTTTCTGTAGAATATTGACTGATGGAATCCATAATTGCAGCCTGAACAATCCGATCTAAAACCGATTTTCAGACTCAGAATTTTTAGGTTTTCTATCTCGAAACACAATAACAGTAAGCCAATACATAAAAACGGAAAATAATTATTTTTTAATCCACACGTGTATTTGGTTCAGCTCTAACAAGATAGTTGCTCGTTTTCCAAAATACTTGCGTCAGATCACTTCTTGGAAAGCTGGGTGGGATGACATTAGACCAGTACAATGAAATTCTCCTCACTATTTATCAGCCACAAAACTTTCGATCCCATCTTTTCCAGCTGCAATACTTAGTGATATGGCAACGATGAGCGCGGGAAGGCCTACAGGATTAAAAAAATCAGACATGAAACTTAGCTTATTCCCACCCGTCAAGGGTAGAATTTCCCTTTCGACATTGGATATTAATCTTAAGCACCGCTATTCAGGGATATTTAGGACTGAAGTATGCAATATAAGTGACAGATTATGTTCCTGGCCCCGTATTCTTGAATTCGGAGAGGGGTCCTTACGGAACAAGGACGCACAGATAATATGGTGTGAACGAGAATCGAAGACAAATCGTTCGAAGAAACTGCTACCTAAATTAGTTGGACTTATGAGACATAGGTAACTATATTGTAAAAACACAAAGGGGTGGTAATTAAAAGTGTTTAAATATTTTAATAGCCACAGAGTACCTTACCCCATGAAATTCCATGGCACATTCTTAATTTGTCGCCAACGTTGTAAACTTTCACAACAAACAGGTAGAGGTAAATTCCCTCGACCAGCATCCAACAAAAGGCAGCCATCAAAAAATACTGCATAAGGGCTGCCACTGTAAGGCAACCTCCCTGGGAAAATGGAAAGCGAAAGAGGAAAGTTCTGTTAATTTGCAATTTGCCTTAATGATACATACGCCATGATTGATTTGTATCGTAAATATTGATAAGGCGTGTCGTCTTGACTCCTGTTGCAAACTGACCGATCCAAAAGCCTAGAGAGATTTCGGGGACGCACCGCTCACCATAAAAGCCATTTTCACTAAAATACAAGAAAAATAATATTCGACCTAAAAAACACGATCAAAGTACTTAAAACTGTTCGAAAAGCCTTTAAATCGCGTTAGTTTCATTTTCTTCGAAGTTGATATTTATCGCAGTCTTCTGCGTGTCAATTGGCCTCTTCGTTTCTGGACAGTAAATATTTCAATTTCCACAGAATTCTTGCCTTGTTCCCAGTCGCTCCAATCCCGGCGAGAAACATGATTTGTCCTGCACCAAGAGAAGTGACGAGACTCACTCGAATCTGGGATAAAGGTCCTCTCATGTCTCTGGCACGCCAACAAAAACGAAAGAAAAAAATAGAAGGAAAAGAAAAGAAAAGGAAAAAACATTTAAAAAGACATAAAAGAGATATTCTTTATTAACAATGAAGGTGATTGTTGGTTCCCTTTATTTTCCAAAATTTTACCCTTTCTTTCTTTTGTAGAAGTTAAGATAGGTATGTTGTTAAGGATAATGATTCTAGGTCTTCTCGTCATCATAGAACTCGAAGAAGTAAGCAAACAATGGGCAAATCGGTTAGTACTGCACGATTATCACTTCTGTTTGTCCATTGACAGAACTCAGCGTATGTGCAAACTTTTTTCGATCAGTTATTTACTGTTCTGACTGACATACATTTCTAATTTCTAACCACTTTACTCACGTGAGAGTAAGATAGCTGATTATCGTCAATGTGATACCAATAACAGAAAGGGTCAGCCCGACGTATGTGAGAATTTCCAAGTTCTTTTCGTCTTTCTTTAACGAGGGGAAATATAAACAATAACAATACTTCAAAAGATTTACAAATCTAAATACATCAATTTAATCAAGTTTTATTCTACTTTAAAAACTAAAATGTTAAACTAATACGTATTTGTTTGAATATACAAGCAGATCTTATCGTACAAGGGAGTTGCAGGCGTTGTGGTGACACTTACCTCTGATATATCGGCAGTCTCTGTACCAGATGATGTGTCCAGAAGAACAGCAAAATGAGTCAAATGATTGCATGTGCATTCTGTTTGGTATGCATCAGTAGATTTGACGTAGCACCCTTCTCCTGACCAGCCAATGGAACTGAAACGTAAAATAGATAAGTTATCGATCATGCAAGACTCTAGTGCAAGTCATGGGGACGGAGCCCCATATCCAATAATATTGATAAGTACTCGAGGTGACAAACTTTGACTGTTAGACGATGATCCTTTTAACCCTTTAACTCCCACGAGTGACCAATACAGAATTTCTCCTTACAATATCAAAACAATTTCAAGCAGAGAAGTGATGAGAATAAAGAAGATTATCAGTGAGGGGATTTTGAGTTGATCCAATACAAAATTCTCCAAACTAACACCTGTATGGAACTTTATGGCACACATTTAGGAGAATTACTAGTGAGATCTTGGGAGTTAAAGGGTTAAGTATTTGCATGCATTCACTAGCTCTCAAAACTTTGTTCTTCACGCGTGGAGAGCTTCATGTGAAAAATTTGAACAAAGGGCACCACAATTTAGCTTACTGGAACTCTTTCGCAGCTTGACTTCATTCAGATATAAGTGATCGCATCAGACCGAGAAGAAACTGGTAAGCATAAATCATACATTATTCCAACTTAATCAACCCAATGCTAGCCTCATGATATGACTTGAACAAGAAGAAAAAAAAAGGTAGAGAGACAATCAAGCTATATTTACCTCTCATCGAACATGTTCCAGAACATACACTTTTTCTCGTTATTTGCATTCTAAAATCATGGAATAATAGCAAAAAAACATAATTCATGAAAGATACATAACATAACGCATTGTGGACTACATATCGAAATCTAACGAAATCCGAATTCATAAGCAACGCAGGTAGGCTAAAAATAAGCGAGTTTCATTTCAGACAGTGACTCGATCTCAACCAGAAAAGACACGGTATAGTAAAAATTATCATGAAAAGAAAATCATATCTCATGCTACCTTCATGTTTTTGAACTTCAAAGTTATATTTTCCTGTAGTCTCGTGGGCGAAGGAATTATTGTGGCAGCCAAAATAATGGAGTTGACTTCCCTATTTCGGAGCATTAAAGTCAGAATTATTAAACTTCAAATGCACATTTCCAAGCATAAATAAAACAAATAAATATACATTGTTTAGCTTAAAACCCCCCAGTTTTTGGCTTGAAGAAATTAACTAAGCGTTTATGTATACAAAGATGTGAAAAGTAAGTATAATTCAGATCTGGGAGACCTTGGATTGTTCAGGGTACTGTTCTCTGGTTGGTTTCTGGTAAATAGTTGATGGAGGTCTTTATATATCACTCCGAGTATCACTGAACCTGGGAAAGAAATAAAAATGTAACAATTTCACGAATTGTGGAAAATTATGCTAAATCAACAAAAAAATCGAAATGAACACATGAATATATGGATCGATAAAAGAACAAAACGTCTAAACACCGCATATTAAAAAAATTAAATTTTCAAACCATTGTCCAAATTTGCCGATGGAATGATTAGGAGATTTTCTCCCGTAGGTTCCTCCAGACGAAAGTGGTGGCTGTGGTTTCGGTAGGAGATTTTCCTGACAAGAACATCTTGGAGAAAAGAAGAAAAGAAAATGGTACGATTATAATGAAGATGATAATGATAATAATAACGATAATAATATATAGTAAAAATAGTAATACTACCACTAATAATAAGAACAATAATAAAAATAGAAAGATCGATTTAAAAACAAAGTATAATGGGTAATAATGTCAATGAGCGAGAAAAGTTCCTTAAAGCGTTTAAGGAGGATCAGTTTTTCTATCAAAATTCGAGGGGGTTTAGCGATAGAACAGTGATAATTAGTTTAGTGAATTACAGATTTATTGCCTCAGAATGCTGTGGTAAGGCTATCTTGTGCGATGAACGCTTTTCCATCGCCATCTCTTGAACCGGAGGGACCATGATGTCGAATGTACTTATCATATTAGAAAGTGCCTTACCCATGTGTATGCTGCTCATATTAAATTCACTTGTTGTGCGATTGAGGTTATACTGTCCGTATTCCAACAGGGATGTCTCCAAAGAGGTCAATTCAAGAAAGACGTCCTCTATCTCTTCCTGCTTTAGTTGACTTTTGTTACGTATCTCTTTTGTAAGACGCTGAAGAATGGTGTTTGAAGAATTGAAGATATCCTACGCAAACAGTGAAGTGATTTAATTCAAAGAAAGAATTGATAAACCATACTAAAATCATAATGTCAGGATGCGCAACAAGCCATTAACATCAATTCTTCTTTGACCCAATGAAATCAACAAAGCAAATACTCTTTTTTATGCGTGAAATTTCAATCGGTTTGTCGGAAATACGTTTGATGATCAAATAATGATGTGATTTATAAATACATAGAGCAGGAACTAAGTTAGTAGTCACAAAAGTGATGTATTGTAAAACATGAACAAAAACAAAAAAAAAAAAAGGGAATATAAATAGAATACCTCCTTACGGAGGCTTTCCGCTCCTGGCTTAGCACCTGTGTGGAAAGGACACATATTAATATACGCTAAAAGGTAATAAGTCATTAATTTGAATAAATAAGAGCAATAAATGGCTGAGTAAAATAATTGAATAAATGAGTCAATTGCTGAGTGAGGAAAACACGAAATTGTTAAATGAGTGGTTCAAACAATTAATTCTCACATGAACGAAGAAATGAAGGAATTATCGGGTGACCAGAGAGATTGATATATATAATGATAAAATGGATGAGAAAATAGATAATAAATGATTTTAATATATATAAAAATGGGAATCTTATACATACCATTTCCTTGCATTGTGCCATTGAATAACCTTATATTTATGTAGATTTCCTTATAACATCTCTGGACGTCAAAACTATATGATGGGCCACCGTTTACAGACTCCATCTTTATATTTTTAGAACGACTTCGCCAAATGAGTTTATTAATCCTCCAAGTGCATTCTTTTTGCCAATCAACGGATTGCTTGAGACAAAAAGCGAAGTCTCTGCACCACGTCAGGATACAATACCAACGACACCAAAGATGACAGGTGATTCTTAACCAAGGCGGATCGGTTCCGTTTTCGATTCGCTGACAGGTATCTTTTACCCCTTTAAGTTCCAACTTTCCGTAATTCTTGGGACACTGGTAACTATGACCTGAAAGTAATCACGCAGGTAAAAACGTTAAATTCATAAGAAAATGCTTCACCGTACCCAACTTCCGATGATAAAATTAATTTTGTGACAGAGACTTTAACCGCAATAGCCTGCTTCAGGTACCTCTTTGCAAGAGACCACGGAAATCTTTGGCTACAGCGAGAATATTTTCAGCGGCAAGTAATTAGTAATAAAACCATCATTTTGATGCCGACATCGATTAAAACAAGTTGATAAGCATATATAAATAAGATATGGAACCCTTCCCTCCCTTCCCCTTCTAAAAAAAAAACAGAAGAAAAAACAAAAGAAACAAATTCATACTCGACGGATGAACGAATAATGTCTTAAGTAGGTAGGATATGTTCCTGAAGTACAAATAGAATTAGATGAACGACAAACTGACCCTGTAGCTAGATATATAAATTAAAATACAATGCGTAGTACATCATGGCGCCACTGGCCTTCTTCATACGTCAAGTTTCCTAAAAACAAGCAACTCAGAAGGTTACAATACTGCTTGGTCGTACTCACCAATCAAGAATGCAAGGAAGAGAATCTTCCAGAACATTTTGGCTAGAGATCCCTTTGAACCTTCAAATACGAATCCGGCCTTTTGTGTCTTAAAGATCACTGTCTCGTTAAACAGTGATGAAAGTACTTTTTTTTTGTCGGTGACTTTGGGTAGAGGCTATATCCAGAGGCTAAACCTTGAAAGACCAAAGAAGAAAGCAGTGACCAAGCTCGGCGTGAGCTTTTAACACTTAATTCCTCGAGTTTGATGGCACTAAACTGACTAACTGTGTCCGTATTTACTTTATGAATTTAGACATTACCGGGATATGACACGAATACTTATTTTTCATATGGGAAAGTGTCATGGAAACCGACGGGCAACAGCAGGTGGCAATTGAGTAAGAAATTGCTCAAAGCAGAGTTCATAATAAAGGAACCGACATTTTTGTCGCCCAGAACACTTTTTCCGACTTAACCTCCCCTTAACACGAACATAATGGTTTTCAAATTTGCTACCCTCTTAATATAAAATAACGGACGACAAGTCATAGGTTTTCAAAATATTTTTCCGGAATATTTCAAAATTAAAATTCACCTTTAAGTTAGGTACACTTTTTGAATTGCAACTGTTTTTCTGTTAATGACATTGCCATGGACAGATGAGTAATAAATGAGAATTGAAAGAAAACAAAGAGTGTTCAACACAGTTGGCGCCCTATTGAAAACTAAGCCGAATTTCCAACTTTGCATAACAAACTGTCATGAGGTTGAGCACGTTTTACCTGCGGAAAAGGCAAATTTTCAAATGAATATTTTATCATATCTGCTAGGGGAAGTTTTAAGGTTAAACTTCCTTCTGGCCACGAGATTTTTTCCTTTTTTTTCGGTACCCTTAACTGAAAGACCAAAAAATATATATATCAACCTCGACAATTTGAAACAAATACATCTTTTAAAATTTTAATTGTTCCTAAAGCTATTGAAGCTATTAGCATTTTACAAATTGAGAGGAAAGCAATTAGCTAGGCGGCGAATGATGTTTGTCACAATTGGTAGGACGAAACACCAAAAAAATAACACTTAACTACAATTGAGACCCTTCGGATCGGTTCTAAACTCAAAGTTATCTCGAAATCCTTCGGTACGGCTACGGAACTCGAGAGCTAAGAAACATTCTGCTACTGAATTATATAACACTTTACAATAACTACTAATTGCACACGAAGATATTTCGGCAACGAATGTCACTAGGTTGCATACGTTACGCGACAAAAACAAAAGATGTTTCGTGAGTGTCTGAGTTCGTTTTCTTTTTTAAAGTTCTTGAACACCTTCCGAACAGTCTTTTTGTAATCAAAGTCTTTTCAACAACAATGCTTTATCATTTTACCGACAAGAGAAAGAAATAACTTTTAAGGGATGTAAAAAAAAATTAATAATAATAATGATAAATTACAAATAAGGATTTTACTTAACTCTATCAGTATGAAAATAAATATGTTTCATTTCAATGTCGAGAAATGACAATTAATATGTCAAGGAGGCAGAAGAAGGCCAAACGAGAAATAGCGACGGACTTTCGTATGTGAAAGTCAATGCCTCTTCTTTACAAACGTCATTCACAGTCTGCGAGGCCTTCGATCATAAATCTACTTGGTGAATGGGATATACTCGTATATTTGAGAACTGAACAAAGCGGCTTGGCCTCGTGTTTTATAGAAAATTTCATACTTTTCACTTGACCTGCGGCGCCCATTAAAAGGCACATAACATTAATTAAGGTCATTCATTAAATGGTTTGAACCCGGGGATAACATGTAATAGTGTAGTTTGATCGTCTGGGTGAGTGTAGTGCTGAGAAGGACTGTTGTCGGTTATGGTGACTGACGTTTCGACAACCTGAGCGGAAGTCATCATCACAGTCAAGTGAAAGGTTGCTGTCAGCCGAATGCACTTGGTCCGGTTTGTGTAAACTGATTGGTTAGTTTTGCCGTGATGTTGACATCGCCTAAAGACTCAAGTGGCGTGGGTCAGTCGTGATTGGTTGGTTTCGATCCGTTAGTGAAGTTAGGTCGTTCTGTTCGGTTCGTTTGTAATGTTAATGTCGTGAATGAGTCGTTTGTATGGTGCCGGTAGTGGTTGACACCTATTGAGGGTAGTCTGTTCCAGTTTAGTAAACCAGCTTTCCAGGGTCAGTCACTGCGCAGTGCCAGTCCATAGTGTGGTTCGTAAGTCGGTGATGTTCAGCAATGTGATTGTCGACATCGCCTTTCCTCGTCGCTCGTTTGTGTTCGGTCAGTCTAGTTGTGAGGTTTCTGCCAGTCTCACCGATGTAAGGGCGCGGCAGTCGGAGCGATTATCTTATATACCGCTCCCTTCTGTTCCGCGGTTCGTCTTTGTCTTTGACGTTAGTCAGTATCTGACTTATATACACAGTTTATGTCAAAGACAAAGGCGAATCGAGGAATTAATATTATCATCTGCTATTATATGATTTAATTTGATAATGATTTGACGAGAATATCTCAGGAATCATCCTCTCGATTCCTAACAATAGTAAACTAACCAGTGTCCTCTTCTAGTGTTCGTATCCAAATTCATTCATAAACAAAAGGTTTTCTCTGAACTGTCATTTCTTCTTTCGGTTACAACACTATGTTTAGCTTTAGTTTTTCTCGAAATATTTCCGGAGGCAGTTTCATTTTCTTGAGAGCTTCTATTAATACTTTTTCCATTGTCTACTGATGGGAAAATGGAATGGAGCTTTCTTCTGAGTCGACTTCTTATCTGCAAGAATAAAGCAACAAAAAAAAGTCAAAACCAACTTACGTCCATTTATTTGAAAGAATTAGATGTAGTGAGCTGAGTCAAGTTAATGAGATAAAAAGGTGAAATTAATCATCGGGTTCATTTTCAGTTGGCAATAAAATTGGCCCAGGACGATTAAAAAGAGGAAAAGATAAGAAAAAAAAAACAGCTAAAGAAATCTAATGAGGAGTGATAAAAAAGGAATTGTCTATCGATAGGAAGAAAATAAAATTGATTTAACCTGGAGACACTATAAGCTTGAAACGAAAAAGTGATATTATACCTCCGTGTTTCTCACGCAGTGCAAGACGAAAATCATAAAACCCTGTTGAAAAAAAAAACATTGATCTCGTTGAGTCAAGATTCTTTCTCGTCAGTTTTTCTTACAAGTACAGAGATATACATTTTCTTTCAAACTTACTTGGTTTGAGTTGAAAATCGTGAGAATATAGGCAAAAGCTTTGTGCAATGGCAATAAAACGCCAAACAGCCACGTGACACCCAAGAGAGGAATCATTACCACGCATGCTCTGATGCCAAGCCTACAAAGGAATGTTTTTCTTTCTCTTTAAGACATCAAATCACCGAAGAATAAGATCATCATTATCATCGTCATTGTCGTATATTTCTTTGTTTGTTTGTTTTTTGTGCATGTGGGTGTGTGCGCGTGCAAAGACTACCGATGAACTCTTGTTTATTTGTTCTCTTTTGGATTCCTTACGTTAAAGATTTCATTCTCTACCTGATTTGTTCAGTCTGATTGTCTTTGGTTTGTTGCATCGTCGTCATCTCCCTGATAACTCGTACAAGGATCACAATGTTAAGCTAAAAGTATAAAAAATAGTGATTACACCGAGATACTATTGATGTAATGATAAATTAAAGACGAAAATAGCTCAGTAATTGTTTTTTCAATTCTTGCCCTAATTCCTTCTACTTTGTTCATTGCCGTCGATGCCGTTTTCATCACTGCCACTGTTAACAACGTTGTCTTGACACGCAGTTACACGTAAGCCTATAATCAATAGATGTTCAAAATCAAGTCAGTGTTAAATATAAGGGGGACTCACCGATCCAATCAGCAATACGAAGACAATGAATATCCAGATCAGACCATTTTCGTGAGAAAGCCAGCAGCTTGACAGACGAAAAACAAACAAACCAAAAGAATAAATAATAATTTAACGACAGTATTAACAAATAATAGATTAGATACATCATTACATTTTTCGAAGCTTTGCTTAAAGATCTTTTACGAACAAGAGAAACATTATTATTACTTTCATCACTGAGAGGTACATGTTTTACTTACTATTTCTCGCTGACAAAACTCTCGATTCCCGCAATGCCTGCTGTGATGCTCAAGGATAAGGTGACCACAAGTGCAGAAAAACCTGTGACAGAAAAGCCGAAAACATTCACTCCTGGTTTGCAAGAAAATATGTTTGAAACGGAATCTAAAATGCACCAAGGAGTTGAGTAGGGTGTCCTAATGGTGCAAGAGGTTTAAGGTTGACTTCCGGAAAAGTTATTGCCGGGTGTGCTGTTGGGTAAGACAGCTCATTATCTTTAATTAGACTTTAGTCCACCAAAATTAAGATTTTTTTTCAGATTTACTAGCAGTGAACTAACTTCCACATGCATTTCAGGATGAGATTTAATGCTCATATTCTTTTATGCCGCTAGAGCCGGGAAGGAGCCAGTCATTTCTTAAGTTTTACGCTTTCATATCAGCTTTTACTTTAACCTCTTTTAATCCATTTATTCACACACAAGCAAAGGAACTGAAATATGGCCTTACCCCACGTAACTCCGTGGCATATCTTCATCTTGTTTGTAACGTTGTAGACTTTTACAACAAACAGGTAAAGGTAAACTCCCTCGATGAACATCCAACAGAAAGCGGCCATTAAAAAGAACTGCTCAAGGGCTGCTACCATAACACACACTTTCTGGAAAGAAGAAACAGCTCAGCTATCTGTTGCTGCAGTTAAGTAAAACCATTAGTGAGCAAAGAAGTAAAGCCCAGCCTCCATATAGCATGGATGATCATTTAGCTTTTGCTTATGCTAAGACGTCTAGAATAAATATATATATTTCTGGCAAAATCGTGGTTTAATCGAAAACTTAGGGCATTGCCTCATATCCAAATGAGAAAAGACAGAAAAATCTGAAGAAACTTACAGTAACCTGGTTTATTGTTCCTTACTTTGTTCTCAGTCGCACCAATCCCACCAAGAAATATGATTTGAGCTGCGCCAAGCGAAGCAACCAAACTAACACGGATCTGAGACAAAGGACCTCTCATCTCCCTGGGGCAAAAAATTCAAAGGATTTCCGAGAGGAACAGAGCCGTCTGTGAGGATGAAAATTGTCTTCGAAAGAATAAACACTCTTGAGTAGTAGTGTCAGTGTATGATATTGAATAATGTGTGTCTTTCAATGTTAAACA